ATATGCGTTTTTGCTGCCTGTTGCAGCGCTCTAGCGCTGCACGGCAAAAACGCATAAAAAGGACGACGAAAAGGCAACTGAGCAAAGTTGCAAAATACTTATATTTTAAAATAAAAGAAAGGTATTTTTTCGTAATACTTGCGTGTTTCAGTTGTCAAAGGGTCATTATGAGTTTTAGCTACTCGTATAGTTCTACCTAGCTCTGCATGCAAATCCGGTGCATTTTTAAATTTTCGTACGAATGATTCCTCAAGTGTTACCTGGAGATAATGAACGTAACAGTGCTGAAGCGTAAGAAAAGACTGCTAACCGATGGATGAAGATAAAACAGGAAAAACCAAAATTACGAGCTTTTAAAGCAATGAGTAAGCAGGCTGCATTTGCGTAGAAAAAAAAAAATGTGACACGCCCAACGGTTCTCCACAAAACAAGGCATAAAAATTAGCCAGGACAACCGGCTAAATGATATGATGACGAAACTTTGCACAGCAACCATGGGAAGACAATCGCAGGGACAACAACAACATGGAGCTGAGCTACGATGAAACAACAGCTGATCAAACAATCAAAGTAAGTTATGCAAGAAATAACCGTAGCATTTTTTCGGCCATACGCCTGTTTCCTTCGGCTCTATAAATGCTGGCCAAATGTCGCAGCGATGAGATGTGCGATGGGGCAATAGCGAGAGCTCCCAGCAGCGACGCTTTTGCGTCCGTTCGCAAACGTTCACACAGCGTAGCATCATCGCATTGTGATGCTCGTGCTGCCAATAATCGACCCTGCAATAAAACAGTATTTCTCTTCCACAAATTCACAAAGACGGTCGGTGGTATGCAATACAAATCATCCACTACGCACAATAATTTATTGAATGTCATAGTCAAGTCATTAGTAGTCGTTAGGTACAATAATTTTTTTTTTTCATCAAAGACATATATGTATATATACATATATATATGTATATATATGTATATATATATATGTATATATATGTAATTGTACAAAAATATAAATAAATGGCAACGCGCACCAGGCTAGCCGGTGCGATCATGCGTTTTGTGCAATTCAGCCC